ATGTATATATATATATATACACACACACACATATACATATACATATATATAAAGTTTATATATAAAGTTTCCAATTTATTAAAGTTTCCAATTTACTAAAAAAATCACTCAAGTAAATGCACTGCAAAAAGTTTTCAACCCATTTGTAAAGAATATAAAAATGCAACACCTTCTGGCTGACATTAACATGATACAAAGTTCCTAACTGAATTTCAACAAAAACTTTTCATGGTTGGTGGATGGAAGTAATAAAAATGGATATTTGCATTAGCCCTAGCAGCCAAAGATGTAGTACTTCTTCCATTAAGATCTTATCTTTGTGAATTATCTTTTTCAGTTTATGATAGCCATTAAGGCAAAGTATAGAAATAACCAGAACGCTGAATCAGACTTTTTAATAACTGTTTCACAAAGTATTAAAGATTTTTAAAAGCAATGAAGCCTATCAAATCATATTCTTTTCACTAAATATTTTTGAGAGCAACAAGGGTTTTTATACCATTAATATAAAGGTCTCATCTTTATCCTATCCTTTTGACATTTAAAAAATGTTTTATGATACCATACACAGTAGGGCGTGTATATAACTTATGCCGGTGTACAGACATCATGGTGAGGGGAATTGACTGCAATCAATAAAAGTTTGGAGAGCACAGGTATAGGTAGTTAACACTGTAGGTGGTAGGATCCTAGCAGGCTTTTATTATCCCAGCATGCTGTAAAATCACTCCACCACGGGAAGTCTTTATGAAGGACACCCCTACCTATTCTTCACAAAGGGAGGGTTGAGGAAGGAGTAAGATTTGGAAAAATAAGATCAAATTTGTTTAGTATGAAGCACAGCACAATGCTTACTGCCAGAGATGAAATACCCTAAAAAAACATTTAAAAAGGATCACAGGCTCTAACTTCAGCCCTACTCTCTGTAGCTCTCTAGTTCAGAAATTGAACCTGAAGAAAGTTTTCTAAAACGTACGTAGCAAGCGCCTCTGTAATGGTGTGTGTGTGTAGCAAGCGCCTCTGTAATGGTGTGTGTGTAGCGCGCAGGCACACAAACACGCACCCACACACACACACATGCCATCATTTTTCTGAGACTGGACTGTTTGGCCTTGGGTCCCACACTTTGGCTGTCAGAAGAGGGTGAGACGCAAAAAAAGAAAACGCAGTTCTTTCTGCGCCAGGCCGTGACAGAGGAGGTGGCCAGGAGTATCCCGTGATGCTTTATCTCTACCAGGAAGCGGCTAGCGGGTATTTGAAGCAGGGATGAAGCCCAGCGCATGTCCACTGCGGAGGGCAGTATTGGCTGTAGGGTCAGAGAAGGGGCTTTAGGCTCCAGCCTGTCCCCTGCGGGAGTCCAAAGGGCCTCAGGAGACCAGCTGAGGCCTGGTCTTTCCCTGCCGGCAGAGGAAGTTCCCGACGTAGGACAGCTCGAATCCCTTTAATGAAAAGCTCTTGCATGACCACTCAGACAATTTCGTGCCTCTTCAGTACGATCTGAGGGAATTAGACACAACGACAGCTGTCTCCGCACCTCGAGCCTCCGGCGCCGGGCTCGGAGCCCGACGGCCTGAATTCTCGCGAGAGTGGCCGCCGCCATTTTTCCATTGATTGCAGCGGCCGGGGGGGAGGGGCCGACGACTAAGGCGACGACGGCAGCGGCGGCGGCGGCGGCGGAGCCGTGGGTCGGTGTCTGCGCGCTGGAGTCTGAGGCCCAGGCTGAGGCCTCCGCGGTTGCCGGAGCTCAGACTGTGCACGGGATGACTTCTACCGCCATTCTCCCCTGAGAAATAGAGCCGCCGCCACTCTCCTCCCTCTCCCGAAAGGGCGGAGAGGAGCGGCCGGAGTTTGAGCGATGGTGCCCGGCGAGGAGAACCAACTGGTCGCGAAAGAGGTGAGGGGCCAGCGGAGGAGGCTAGGCCCGAGGCCTGCGGCCGCGGGAGGCCATGTAGGCCCGGCCGAGGGGCCGGCTGTGCACCCGGCTCGTGTGCGGACGGGCTAGGGGGGTGAGGGGGGAGGCGGTGGCGTGAGGCCGGCGGGCTGGTGGGGGTGGGGGTGGGGGGGTGGTTTATGTTGGGTGCAGCGAGCAGTTGGAAGACCTAGCAGGAACTAGGGGCTCTGGGGAGCAGACATCTCCCCCTTCGGGTTTGTGGGGCTGGGCAAATAAAGGAGCGAACTGAGGAATGAGGTCCTGCACAGGGGGAAGGTGGCTTCAGAAGTACTGATTGAATTTGTCGAGCCAAGATAGAGAAATAATTGCAAAGAAAATGTTCTGGAACTGTTGTTGATGGTCACGACTGGGTGACGGTGCTTCTTCTGGTCTGGACAGTGGCAGTGTATGGCTTTCAGGGCTGGTGAAATCTACACCCAACTTGAGAGAGCTTTGGGAGAGCAGAATTAACTGTTACGACTTTTTTGAACTCCTGTTACTTGGTAGTTGCGCTGGCCTGCCTAGATGAGGCCTATGGAAGACGGTCGGAGAGTAGCAAGTGTGACTTTCACGTGAAGGTAGCTAGAGATAGCTAAACACAACCATATGGAGAGCTGAGCTGCATTTTGTAGTAGGTGATGTGTGCTAATTTGGATGACTTCTTAAATTCTTAAAAGCAAGTGATATGGGAAACCTTGACTTCTTGACTTCTCTTACATAGCAGTAGGAGATTAATGGTAGAATCGAGCACTGGCCAGTGAATTTCAATATATTAATAGTACCTCTGTTGGCTTTATAAATATCCTCAGCATATTCAAACGTGTATTTTTAACTAGCTGATCAGGCTAATGTGTTGTATTTTAGGATCTTGATATTTGTAAGTGATGTCCATTTAAAATTTCTATTTTTTTTCCCTACTGTTTTGTGGCAATTTTTTGCTACTTAAGCAAACCCTGACACTGCACAAGTAATTTTGGAGTTATCCAGTTATGATATGTTTTTCCAACTTTATCAGATGATAGTTGTTTTGCAAAGACAGTTTAAAAAAAAACTTAGTTATCATGTGAGTATTCATCATGCATCACCAACTCTGCAAAGCAGATAAACATGAATTAATCAGAATTTTTGCCTTGGGAGCTTTCAAAGCTGCTAAGAGAGGAACCACTAGCACTGTATTCCTTGGCCTTCAGATAGGAGCTGGGGATTTTTCACTACACCAGTAATTCTTGTGCATGGATGGGAGTGAGATGCTCTCAGAAAGATACAAACATACATTTTCTCTTAGAGATACATATTGCTGTTTTTCATTATTATAAGAGGCAAAATTAGTTCTTTCTTAAATTGTTTCATCATTAGAAAATATAATGAAGGAGGAACACTGCTTTAAGAAAACCGCCTTTACTTCCTAATCTCTGTTCTCAGCTTCAATACTTTTCTTTTTCCTTGACTCCTTCACTGATTCCTGAAAATATGACCACTACCTCAAGTCTTAAGGCTGCCACTTGCCATTTTTAACTAGCTCACCAGTTTCTTCTTTTTTATGAAAGTATTCCTCCTCTTACATTCTTTTCACTCTTGAATTTTCTGTTACATATGATACTCAACCCTTCCTTGGCTTTAATAGTACTATATATTTTTTTGTTTTTCACATTACCTGTTTGTCCTACCTGCCCACTCATTTAGTCAGTGTCTTTCTCTTTTTTGTGTCCTTAATTAATACTTTTTTTTCCTGGTTTTTGTATTCACTTTCTGGTCATTTTAAGTAGGAGTTGAATTATAGAGTACCAAAGTTGAAGAAGAGTTGAGTAACCATCTAGTAACTTAAAGCCTTTCACTTTATGGCTGAGGAAACTGAGGCAGAGGATTGGAAGTTTGTTTTCAGGGTCATATAATGAGTAAATGACAGTGCTGTAGACCATAACTCACTCACTCTGCTACTCATTATACTCTATATTACAAATCCCTTTATGTAACCTTGTGCTCTATCAGAATATTTTGTAACTTTCTAGGTACATTTGCTATGTGTAAATAAATAAAGAATTAAAAAATGTTTTGCTTCCATTTCAGTGGCTAATTATCAACAGTGTGGAGGGTTTTTGCTTTGTTTTGCTTTTATGAAGGCCCTTTGTATAGGTAGAACCTCTGAGCCCTTTTAGAGTTACATTTTGGGTAGATGCATTTGTGTGTGTGTGCAGTTGTTGAATTTCTGCTCTCTGAAACTCAAGGACAAGTGTATCCTAGGGTACTGTTGAAGAAGACAGCTCAGGGTTAACAAACTACAGCCAGTGGACCAAATCCAGCCTGTAGCCTGTTTTTGTATAACCTCTGAGTTAAAAGTGATTTTTGCATTGTTGAAAAAAATTGAGTAATGTTTTGTGACACGTGAAATTCAGATTTCACTTTTTATAATAAAGTTTTGTTGGAACTCAGCTATTCTCATTTATTTCATATTGTCTATAACTACAGCAGAATTGAGTAATTGCTACTGATACTGCATGCACGATAAATTTGAAACTACTTAGTAGTTCAAGGCCTAGTACAGTTGATTCTGGCTGCAGCCTACTCTTTAAGCTTATCTCTTCTATGAAACAAGTTTTAATGCAGCCAAACAGGTTTCTCTCCAACTTGCTTTCACTTCTACTTGTGCTAGATGCCCTTTCCTACTTGCTACCTGTTCAAAACCTCAGTAACATTTTCCTCTTAAGTATCTCATATCCTGTATATTCTAAAAAGACTACTGTTCATTGTAGGAATTTTTCCTCTTATGTGAATATAATTCATTTGGCATAAAGTAAAATTGTGCTTTGTGACAGTCTATTATGTACTCAAACTGTAAATCTATTTTGTGTATTATTTATTATGAATTTCTTAACAGCAGAGATCTTTTGTGTTTCTCTCTCTGTACACACACACACACATACATATCTATACTTATAGATATATAAAGTTGGTCTAGGACTGTATTCTTGGAGAAGATAATTCAGTAGTACTCTTTGATGTAGTTATAGGAAACTCGGAATTCTGATGCTCTCTTTTCCACACTATCATTGGCAAGTTATTTTCCAATCTTTGCTTGAAAATCTTTGACTTAACTCTTTAATAATATCTTTGTCTTAGAAGAGGTTTGTTATTTTAGATTTTTGAATTGAGAAGTCTAGATCTTTGTAGCTACCCTATTTGATAGTTGCCTCTGGAAAAAAAAATTTTAAGTAATTTTCCTCAGAATAGTATTTTCCCATTATTGAAGGCCAACCTGCCCCCAACCCCCACAATTCTACAGTTTGAAGATCTTTAGTTCTTTCGTTCTCTTTTATATATAATCCAGTGTTCTTTGTATTCTTCCTAAATTGTTGTACCTAGAGAAAAGTAAAGAAGGTGATGTCTGTTCATTATGGTTAACAATAAAACTTCTTTTCGCCTCACTTATTCACATTTTGTCTTTGAATTGCTACATGTATAGATACTAGATTTGAGATCTCTTGCTTTTAATGTCCTCCAATTTTTATTTATTGCTTTTGTTGTTTACTTATAAGGATTTGTGAAGAAATTATTGAGTACTCGCTGTGCATATTTTTGTATTCTACTATATAAGAAAATTTAGAATAGAAAAAAATTTTTTTCCTCAAATATTTTATAGTATAACTGAGGATAAGGTACATGTTTACTAGTGCTTTTAACATAACACTTTCACTGCATTACTTAAAGCGGTGTCTAAGGAATGCAGAGAAGATAGAAAAATGAAAGAAAAACAGTATGTAAGCTCCATATCTCAATGTTTTTTTCTGCCTCTCCTTTGTGGGCAATAAATACTACTTCCACCTGGAATTTATGATAGTAGTAACAACCGATATTTGTTGAACATTTATTACATGTCAGATGGTATTGTATGCGCTTGTGTGTGTTAACTCATTTGTGTTTCAACAGCAGCCTCATAAGGCCAGTGATAGAAGTCCCAGAACCTTGAAACAACTTGTTCATCACTGTTACCTAATTTTTTTTTAAAAAAGTTCATCAACAGCCTTTATTGAGTTTTTCAAATCAATATTCTTTTAATTATTTTGCCTAATTACTTGAAATGTGCGGCAGTTGTTATTCTTGTTTTTGGTGTTTCTTTAAAATTATTTAGCCTTTTTTCTTAAATTTGGGTTGTTGATTCTCCATTATGAGGACAAAGCAAGTGTATTTAGTAACACCCATCAGTGGTTTACATAAATTAGTGTGTTTCATAAAAATCATAGATACCAAATATTTTCAGCAATTATTTAAAAAACAATGCAGAGTTGCATATGATGCTAGTTTTGTCAAGGAAAAAAATGAACAATTTAGGGTTATACTAATTGAAAAATTAGAAGGAATATTCTGAACAGTTGATGTTTCTAGATATGTGGATTATTGAGCTATGTTTTGATTTTCATCTTTACATCTTTCAACATTGTACTTTATTTAAAAGAAATTTAGATGAACCGTAGTCTTGAGGTAGTTATTTGTACAGTGTTATATTGTCATTTTTGATGTATAAAGTTTTCATCTTTCCTCTACATTTCGCCAAAGTAATATGATCTACTTGTATGGCATCAACATTTGATTGTAATTTACATGTTTTATATTTCTAGTCTTACCTATCTTCCAATTCAGACCTCTACCCTGCATATTGGAGATCTCTATTTGGTGGTATTTAAGACCCACACATTATATAACCATAGATTATAAAGGAGACATTAAGATCATTTCTCTTCTTTCCTGTTAACATCCTCCCACTCAACATCATTCTTTGTGTACTTTTTTCAGTTAGTGGCATTACCATCTATACATTTGCTTAAATTACAACATTTTTTTAAAACACTTTGTTCCTTCTTGTATTTGGCTATGTCATCACTTGGAAAATATTTCTTGAACCCTTACCTTTATTCTCTCCCTGGCTGTCTATTTTCTCATTCAAATTTAGCCCTTCAAAATGGTCTCTG